CCAAGTTTGAATAAACAGTCGGCTAATGAATGTTTTCGTTTAGCAGAGTAACCCAACAACTGTAATGAATAGTTTGGTTTACCAAACAGCTAGCCTGTGCAGTTACGTTTCAGCTTCTTTTTGTTTCTTCCTTTTGTTTTCAAAGGTTATGGTACGCAACTTCTAAACAACTGATGCAATTACCTTTTCGCTTGTTTTTCTCGTCGCCTTCTTTACGAGTAGAGATCGTGGACGAGCCTTGTCGTCCCTGTATCTGTGAAGGAAAGTATGGCCATTAAGGTCATTCCACTGAATACAAACTGGAATGAGTATTCTTTTTTTTTCACTAATTTTTCCTCTGTGTATTTAAATACATTTGAGGCACAGAAATGAAATCGGAAGCCGGCTAAAATTATCGCTGGGAGCCTTAGCGAAACCACCAAGAATTGCATGATGGCTGTGTATTCATTCAGTTTACACTTCGCCAAACTGAACATTGATTATTGAGGGACACATCACAAAGAACTCAATAGATTTACGGCTTAAAATTATTAAAATGTTTACTATACATTCAAGCGTTAAGGTGTAAAACTACCTAGTATCTACTCGCAGCACTACACACTCACAAGGGTAATCGGTGTTTTGGAGAAAAGGGAAAGCGAGTGTCGAGATTAGAATTCTGAACTGGAGGGGGGGGGGGGGGGTGTTAGTCGGTTTTATATTCGGTCCGAGATTAGGGTTCATTTTGTTTTAGTGAAACAACCGAGATCCGATTAGAACAGTGAGTTGCATTTCCGTAGATATCACGCCACCCCCAAGAGACACTTTCATGTTCGTCTTAAACACAAGACACCAATTGACTATCTTATTTTAAAGAGAACTGTTTTACCTCAGTGTGTTTAGAGGACGATCCAGGACTCCTTTCGACATGATTGTCTTGCTTGAAGGGAGACCCAAAGATTGACTGAGTTATCAGCAGAACGAAAAGCAGAAGGGTGAACAGCCTAACGATGCCCATTTTCAATTCTATAATAGGAGGATAAAAATGAAGGAAAGAACGAATGCAACATTGTTGTCTCGGTACAATATCATTTTAAAAGTTTGTTTGTTTGTTTGTCTGTATATCGATGAGATGAACGATGTTATGACCTGGGAATGTCATAACTCGTACGACAGGTTCAGGTAGCGCTCGTGGTAGAATTGATGATAAATCAGGCGACAGTAGCTGCATTTGCCGGACGAGAGACTGTGTCATAAATTTGCTGTCGTTCTTGTTTTTAACTTTAACTAACGAAATACAGGCAATTGTTGCTATTTTTAATGAACTATCAATGTTGCCAATAGCTAGCTTTAAAAGTGCCGGCACTGAGATGATATTAGAGAGATTTACTCTTACCATGTTTTATTGCAAACAGCAAAGGTGAATTTGTACCACGTAACCAAGTTTTACTCTTACTTGACTTTTACAAAATAAGAGTTGTTTGGGACAGTTTTAATCTGCTCATTTTCTATTTTGAATCTACAATTGCCGTAAACGTGACTCTGAAGTCTCGCTATACTGTTCATTAAAATACTATTGAAAGACCAATGAAACCAGTACTGAAAATCAATCCCTCGTATCAATATTGTTGACATCGCAATTTTTCTCCTGTACAACAAGTATCTACAAAGTCATTTGTCCCGTTGCTCCTACATGTGGTTGCCAATTGTTGTCTTTGGTTTCTTCTTCAGTTTAATCTAGCCTGGAAGCTCATCACGACTTACCTTAGACTTAATTCCTCGAGCGGCGTAGTAGCGGCAAGTACCTTCGATGACTACATTAAGCAAAAGAAAGGCCCCCTTTATAAAGAGGAGAATTGACTGAAAAGACATTATGCACTGAAAAAAGGAAATATTTGTATCAGATGATCAACACCAGGTTTCATTGTTTCCGTCTTAAAGCAAACTATTTCACATTAAGGTGTTACGTAATTTATTATGTAAGGTAAAATAAAACAGTAAAATGCAGTTTGGTGGCATAGTGACGGTGTTTGTATGAACTTTGGGTGATTACGTAACACATGCCACGAAGTACCAGCAAATTTTACACTTGACATCAGTAAGAAAATAAGTAGATATTGTTCTTGAAAAAATAATTAACAATATAGACTGATTAGCAGTTATGCTATTCGGAATGAATCCATGCACATTGGTGCCATGTGCTATGTGCATGGCTCAACTGAATCCTGGATATGATGGTCTGCAAAGCACTGACATCGGCATATAGCGACGTCTTTCCAAAACTTCGTACCTTTAAGATACAATGAAATCTACTTATATAAAAGGCATTTTATTTCGTTCGATGGAGGACGCTTACTATTTACGTCCTGCGGGAGATCCCGAGGGTATTGCTCTGGATGCTAAGCGATTGCGCCATCTTGACCAGCTGGCGCATTTAGCCTCGATCTCATGTGTTCCGTTTTTCTCCCCCGGAGACTGGTATCTATTTTGTGACACTCGTTTACCACAGATACAATATTGGCGAGTTTGTGTTTACTGAACACATGAGATCGAGGCCAAATGCGCCAGCTGGTCCAAGATGGTGCAATCGCTCGGCATCCAGAGCAATACCCTCGGGACCCCAATATCTCCCGCAGGACTCAAATAGTAAGCGTCCTCCGTCGAACGCAATAAAAATGCCTTTCATACAAGTAGATTTCATTGTATTTTAAAGGTATGAAGTTTTGGAAAGACGTCGCTATATGTCGATGTCAGTGCCTTGCAAACCATCATATCCAGGATTCAGTTGAACCATGACATAGCACATGGCACCAATGTGCATGGATTCATTTCGAATAGCATAACTGCTAATCAGTCTATATTGTTAAGCAGATTTTTCAAGAAAAAAATATCTCCTTTTTTCTTACTGATGTCAAGTGTAAAATTTGCTAGTACTTCGTGGCATGTGTTACGTAATCACCAAAAGTTCATACAAACACCGTCACTATGCCACCAAACTGCATTTTACTGTTTTATTTTACCTCACATAATTACGTAACTCCATAATGTGAAATAGTTTGCTTTAAGACGGAAACAATGAAACCTGGTGTTGATCATCTGATACAAATATTTCCTTTTTTCAGTGCATAATGTCTTTTCAGTCAATTCTCCTCTTTATAAAGGGGGCCTTTCTGTTGCTTAATGTAGTCACCGAAGGTACTTGCCGCTACTACGCCGCTCGAGGAATTAAGTCTAAGGTAAGTCGTGATAAGTTTCCTAGGTAGATTAAATTGAAGAAGAAACCAAAGGCAACAATGGCAACCACATGTGGGAGTAACGGGACAAATGACTTTGTAGATACTTGTTGTACAGGAGAAAAATTGCGATGTCAACAATCTTGTTACGAGGGATTGATTTTCAGTACTGGTTTCATTGGTCTTTCAATAATATTTTAATGAAGAGTATAGCGACACTTCAGAGACATGTTTACGGCAATTGTAGATTCAAAATAGAAAATGAGCAGATAAAAACTGTTCCAAACAACTCTTATTTTGTAAAAAGTCAAGTAAGAGTAAAACTTGGTCACGTGGTACAAATTCACGTTTGCCGTTTGCAATAAAACATGGTAAGAGTAAATCTCTCTCTCTCATCTCAGTGCCGGCATTTTTAAAGATAGCTATTGGCAACATTGACAGTTTATTAAAAATAGCAACAATTGCCTGTTTTTCGTTAGTTAAAGTTAAAAACAAGAACGACAGCAAATTTTGGCACATTCTCTCGTCTCAAATGCAGCTACTGTCGCGTGATTTATCATCAATTCTACCACGAGCGCTACCTGAACCTGTCGTGCGAGTTACATTCCCAGGTCATAACATCGTTTATATACAGACAAACAAACAAACAAACTTTTAAAATGATATTGTACCGAGACAACAATGTTGCAGTCGTTCTTTCCTTCATTTTTATTCTCCTATTATAGAATTGAAAATGGGCATCGTTAGGCTGTTTACCCTTCTGTTTTTCGTTCTGCTGATAAGTCAGTCAATCTTTGGGTCTCCCTTCAAGCAAGACAATCATGTCGAAAGGAGTCCTGGATCGTCCTCTAAACACACTGAGGTAAAACAGTTCTCTTTAAAATAAAATAGTCAATTGGTGACTTGTATTTAAGCCAAACATGAAAATTTCTCTTGGGGGTGGCGTGATATCTAAGGAAATGCAACTCAATGTTCTTATCGAATCTCGGTTGTTTCACTGAAACAAAATGAACCCTAATCTCCGACCGAATATAAAACCGACAAACCTCTCCCCCCCCCCCTCCAGTTCAGAATTCTAATCTCGAAACTCGCTTTCCCTTTTCTCCAAAACACCGATTACCCTCGTGAGTGTGTAGTGCTGCGAGTAGATACTAGGTAGTTTTACACCTTAACGCTTGAATGTATAATAAACATTTTTATAATTTTAAGCTGTAAATCTATTGAGTTCTTTGCGATGTGTCCCTCAATAATCAATGCTCAGTTTTGCGAAGTGTAAACTGAATGAATACACAGCCATCACGCAATTCTTGGTGATTTCGCTAAGGCTCGCAGTGATAATTAATTTTTAGCCGGCTTCCGATTTCATTTCTGTGCCCTCAAATGTACTGAAATACACAAAGGAAAAATTGGTGACAAAAAAGAATACTCATTCCAGTTCGTATTCGGTGGAATGACCTTAATGGACATAATTTCCTTCACAGATACAGGGGCGACAGGGCTCGTCCTTGATCGCTACTCGTAAAGAAGGCGAGGAGAAAAACAAGCGAAAAGGTAATTGCATCAGTTGTTTAGAAGTTGCGTACCATAACCTTTGAAAACAAAAGGGAGAAACAAAAAGAAGCTGAAACGTATAGCTGCACAGGCTAGCTGTTAGACCAAACTTTTCATTACAGTTGTTGGGTTATTCTGCAAAAACGAAAACATTCATTAGCCGACTGTTTATTCAAACTTGGTTTGTTTTAATACCACTAAGTGTGCAACTAAAAATTTTATCTTGCTGTGTTCTTTAAAATTTTAGCTGACGCTGGTGCTGTCATCAGCGGTGCTCAACTTGGCTTGGGCATTCTCACAACAATTTTAAACACCCTTGGTAGCATAAGCCGCAAGGTCGCCATTGGTGTTGATAACGAAAGTGGATATAAATGGAGAGCAGTCAACATATATTTTTATTCAGGGACGTCAAATCGTGTTTTGCCTCATGATGTTTCTTCAGGTAAAATTAATATTAATAACATAAAAGTTTAAAATCCTTTCTTTTAGTAATAACACTAAGGCCAGTATGCAGGATGGTGTCATTAGCTTGTTTGTTTTGTTTTCCCAATTCAGACCACGTGATGTTCTTGGGGGAATTTGTCTTTTATATAATTATGCATACATAACATGTGGGTGCACGTGCAAAAGACGACATTGAAAGAAACAGTTCTCTGGGGTACCATCACTTGGTCTGAAATGGGTAAACAAACCATACAAGCTAAAAAGGTCTGATCTATTGCTATAGAATCCATTTTGGTTTTCTTGTCATATTTAATTTTTCTAGCTAATCTCTGCGAAGAATTTAACCTGCAATCAGGCGGTCCTTCTTCCCTTTTTGTTTTGGGGGCCTGATCACAGGTTATGCGAGGTTTGAAAAATAAAGCCCTCGTTTGTCCAAGAAAGCAAAACCCCGAGTGATTCTGGTAGTAGTAGTAGTAGTAAAATGAGTTCATCGCGTGCAAAGGGCCTATTACCGTATGAAACCAAGGACGAACTCAGCGACCACTTACCCTAAAGAGTAAAGAAACTGTATTAGAGGATTTGCCCATTCTTGAAATTTTGCAGACAACAGGTTTATGTTTTGCTTTGTCAGAACGGCAAAATGACTTCAGGGTTGAAAGAGCTTCTTAAACCAACTAAACTTAGTATTCATGTTCAGAATGAGAATCCCTTTGCGTGTAATATTTGGGGAAAAGATAAGCAATCACTAACCTGACACAANGTTTGCCATGTATCATTGTGACGAATGATCATGTTTATGATTTTTGTTTAATTGCTAATTTGTTTGCTTATTTCTAGGCACAGCTTTGCTTTACGGCGCACGAAAAACTGCGGGGCCCGTTGCGAGAGGCGCAGTAGGAGTATTAACATACTACATCCCACACATCGATAAAACACTTGCTGTTATGTATTCCGTTCCATTTGACTACAACTGGTACAGCAACTGGTTTGATGTTTGGCTTTACAGTGGTAAAAGACGCGCCAACTACAATCTTTGGTACCGGATGTATTACGATAATCCCTTCAAAGGAGATAACTACTGGCACGAGAGAGATTTGGGATCGGGACTCCGAGCAAGGGGGGCCATGTCTAACTCCGGTCAAGCCACCATCGAAATTCACATACTGAAGCAGTAAATAGTCTCTTGTCATTGGTTAACTTTATATGTAAAGTTTCATTTCTAAAAAAGATTTAAGTTCCTTTGCAAAAATTTAAATGGGACAACCAATGTGGTCAATGTGATGAAACATTTTTCTGATCATTATACATCGAGAGAAAAACTTTCCCAAAAGAATCCAAGTATATAGCTAATAATAAGACTTCTTTTCCTGGAAGAGTCTAAGTTAGCATATTTGCCATGCACTAAAAGGTCTTTTCCTGATTTCTATTCATCCTCATCAATTTGAGAATATTTTTGTGACCTTAAAAGCCGGAAAGGACTAAAGCTGAGCAAGTAAAGGAGCAAATACTAAATATAATCAGTGATTCACAGTGATTGTGATATAAGATTATGAGGACGGTATTTTCAAAAGTTACGATTTTGAATTTGTCTGTTTGATGAAACTCCCACCAGCCATATATGTAAATCAACCTAATACCTGTAAAAGACAAGCGGATAATAGTCTAATACTTGTACTTGATTAATGCTCACGTTGACTTCATCGAAAAAAAATAAAGTGTGGCATAAAAATTCTCATGTCAGTATTATTGTTGACTAGACATTAAAGGATACGAAATGGGGAGACTGGGGAAAGAATGAAACGTTGCCAGTACTATTGAGCTATGCCAGTGAGATCTAGTGACCTTTAATTGGTATGTTTATAGAAACAAATGTGCCAATTAAAAAGTAACAATTCACTTACAATCTCGAATGCTAATCACGTCGAGTCGATTTTATTTCTCATATGAAAAATGTCAAGAGGGGGCTTTGTAAAGCAGGCACCAGTCTACAATAGGCCATTTGCACGATGGCGTCATTTAATTACTACGAACAGAATTCTTTTGGTTTTTCTTTTCATATTTAAATTTGGTAAGCCAGTGAGGTTGAAATAACAAAAACCCTAATTTTCAGAAGAAAGCAAAACCCTGAAGGATCCTCGTCATAGTGGTAAAATGACTCAATCATGCAAATGTCCTATTTACAATTCTAATTGCGGGCAACAAGAGGAGGGCGGAATCCTAATCTCCAGGTTGTTATTACGCATGCGTCGCACCACGAATATCACTGGTAACCCAGGCTCTGTAAAAGTACCACAGTACGGTTCCAGTAAAATTACAGTGTTTGTGTGGGGTAAAAATACCATCCTAAAATTTCTAGGTAATAATAAATATAGTTCAATGAAACTTACTCTGCAGTTAATTGTTGTTGTCCTTATTGCTCTAACGAAGTTTCGTGATAATTTGCGGTAATTTGTTCAAATTCACTCTATATACAATAATAATATACAAGGTAGGAAACACGAGATGCCATTTTCGCCGACATGCTCTCATTCAACACAACTTTTTCCACGAAATTAGAACTCCAACGGAAAATAAACATGCCAGGATAGTAGAAATAGGATAGCAGCAGATATAGAAACTAATGAAGCTTTCCCAGATAGACAAACGAATCCCACAGACTTTGACAAACTCGAAGGATATAATCCAAACAGACCGAGAATATGCTCGCCGAAGCAGCCGGGCCAGATCAACGCGCGGCCAAGAAAATGAAGCCTGGGCACTGTACAAAAAAAATCCATCCCGGGAGTCCTGAGGTGACCTTTCGGGGGACCGATACATCATTTGCCCAAAGCCACCCTACCCTGCTGAAAAAACACTTAAAAAAACACTTTTTTAACAAATTAAAGCAAAGTTACCCCGTGTGGGCTTAAAACGTGCGGTTTTTTTTTTCTCTCGAGCAATAGCAAATGGATCTCTTTCTCTTTTTTCTCTTACCCCCCGTTTTAAGAGCGTGCGTGAAATAATGACGCTAAGGTAATGTAGTAGACAATTGCCGTGTAAAAATGAACCCGCTATTTTTTTGTATTTGCACATCAGTTAATTGTGCACTTTAGTGCTCACGAAAAAAAATAGAGTAAAGGGGTTAAAACTTCCTTTTCTAATCGACCTTTTTTGAGCTAAATGTTTCAAAATTTGTCTTTATCTCTAATGTTAGGAGTTGTTGCGTCCGTTTGCGTCCGTTTGCACGCTGCCTTTACAGCTTTTCGACGACAGCGACGCCGATTAAAACAAATGTCAACTTAACAAGAATTATATATTGCATGTATCAATATATTTTTTTATATATCAGTTTAACTTAGCCTTCTTTAAACGATGATCTACCTGCAAATAGTTTTCTTGACCATGTCTTCATTAACGGTCAGAAATGCGTTCCCCCATTAACACAACAGGCAAAAGTTTATGAATTTCAGTACTATAAGTTGCAAGTGCATCTGGCGTTAAAAATGGTTGAAGTGTTTTTATAGATTAGGGGGTCGGCCTGGTCATCCTAAACTAATTACCTTTTTGTACGATGCAAAGCCATGCCAATATCCGTCGACACATCTTACCGTAAAATGGATACGGTCTCTTAAACATGAAGTACCCTTATACCTTTCAATCCTATCAATGATCAGCATCTAACCTCTCTCTATCGTACCAATTCTAATTCAAACATTGAAGGTCGTGTGAGTGGAGAAAATAATCAAGAAAAGTAAAATGTTCCAATATTTAGATGAGCTCTCCTTAGAAGAGCCAAAAGAGGTAAATTGTGAACAGTGTGAAGAATATGTGGGTTTAGACCCCGGGGGGGCACTTGGGTATTTTTTGGGTGGGTATGTGCCGCCCGGGACTCCAAATTGGCACCCCGTTCTGGAAAAAATTTCCCCTAACATTGATGCCCCGTTCAGAAAAGGGCCAATTTTTTATACCCCGTTCTAGAATTCTCCCTAAAACTGATACCCCGTTCTAGAAATGGGCCAATTTTTTATACACCGTTCTAGGGTGCAACAAGAGTACAACGGTTTGCTTGTTAACGCGCTGAACCGTATTTTTAAAAGCAATCTGTCCTTGAATAATTTCAAATGGCTGCTTACACAAAAGTGGAGCTTTCGTGCGTTCGAAATATTACACCCCGTTCTAGAAAACGCCTCTGAAATGGATACCCCGTTCTAAATCAGGAGCTTCAAAATCACGGCCCCTTTTGGGCGGCACATACCCGTATAGGTAATGTATGGGAGTACCCCCCCCCCCCCCCCCCCCGCC